AGGACCTCCACAGGATCCCCGGCCCTGTCGCTGACCTCTGTCGCTGACCTCTGCTGCCCGAGTTACGGTCCGGAGGCGGGAGCTTCAGATGACCTTGGGATCTGAGGGGAGACACCAAGCACTGTTCTCCGTCGGGGGAACAAACCCCCACCCCTCTCATGTTTTCCCTTAATTAATAGACTTTCTTTTCTAGAGTGGTTGTAGGTTCAGCCACTGCTGAAGCCTCTCCCGGCTCAGTGCCTCCCTCCTGATCTCTCGGGGTTGGGGACCGAGGTTTGCAAATCCCTACTTCATTTAAACCCCGAGGCCGCAACGAGACCGTGGTACTTTTCTGTCTTCACTGGAGATGGCTGGACCCCCATCGTCTCTAGCACTGGAGGCCAGAGCTGGGACACGAGCATGACCGGCTGCCCCAGCCTGTCCCAGTCGGCGGGGGGCGGGGGAGGAGTGGACTCACCTGTCCCCAGCCACGGCCACTCCTGACGTGTGGAAGTGACGCACTGGAGGGACAGCTGGGCAGAGGTCCTTGTGTGACGATGGGTGGGAGTGAGAGGGCGGGGGAGGGGAGTCGTGGCGGGCGGGGCCACGTCAGGCCGGGCTTTCCTGTGCGGCCGCTGTGGTGAACGTGCTGATCACTCGGCCTCAACGTCCCCCCTGCGCCTGGCCTGTGCCGGAACCGAGGGGGGTGTAGGGATCAGCACAGTGCGGACCTCGGGGTCCGGGGGGACGTAGGGGTGTGGACCACACGCTGTGGAGAAGCTGAGTTTCCTCCCGAGCTGGGATGGACGAGCACGTGAGAAACCGGGCAGCACAGAGGGGTCTCTGCGACTCGGACGAGCCCCTCCTGACGGAACTGTGGACACGGGGTGCGTCATCCAGCTGTCGCCCGTGGCCCCGAGGCCTCCCATCGCCGGGGCCAGGCTGTCGGGAAGAGAAGGGCGCCGGGGGGGGGGGGGTGCTGTGGGAAGCCCCCTCCCCAGTTTGCACCAGGGGCCCCCACGGCGTCCGAGGCCTGGCCACCGACCCTCTCTCAGTGGCTTGGGAGGGAGACACCCCCGCCGCCTTCACCGGGCTCCTTCCGGGCCGGCGCAGACGCTGTGGCTCATGGCCCAGGGACAGCTGCTCACGCGCACGTCTGCACACGTCCCACACGAGTCCTCGTGCACGTGTTGTGCACCCGCTCGCAGGCACATCTGCTCACGTGCGCGTCTGCACGCCACGTGTGCGCTCACACGCTCGGCTGGCGGGCCTTCCCTCGCGGGGCAGCGGTGGGGGCTCCGAGCACTTCTGTTGCCCCAGGAGAAGTGTGTTTGCTTGGGACCTGGGAGGCTCAGAGGGACGGACCCCAGACCTCGCGTGTCCCCTGCCTGGGGCCGACTGTCTGTTGTTGGGGGGTGAACTCGGGACTTCTCCAGGCCCAGGTGAGGACCAGGGATGTGGCCCAAAAGGCAGGCGTGCCGGTACGATTGGTGTTTCTCCCCTCGTATGTGTGACCGCAGGAATGTGCCTGAGTCCCCCGGGCGGGGAAGTATGACACCAGGTCACCGACGTCCTCTGATCTGGAGGCTGATGTCCCACCCGTCCTGCCAGGACACCGCATGGGTTCTCCGCCGTGCAGACCTGGAGGGAGGTGGAGGGGAGGTGACAGAGCACGGCTGGGCCCGGTCTGCCCCCATCGGCCCCTCGGGAGGCGGGCTGGGGAAGGCACCTGAGTGCCCAGGCTGCAGGCTGCACCCCCCCCCCCCACTGAGGAAGGATGAGAGGCTTACAGAAGCCCGTTCCTGGGACTCCCGCACTCTGGACGGAGCAGCGTGGGGCTCCTGGAGGTGGGCTGGACCCGGAGCCCGGGGGCCTCTGCCCAGGAGCCCCAGAGAGCCTGCAGGCTGGGAGCCGTCCCGTCCTGAGGACACGCCTTCAGGAACGGCCTCCCCGAGCCTGCACCCCTGCGCCCCGGAGCCTGGGCGGCTGGCTGGGGTCCCGGGACTCTGCGTCCCCACTTGCCCCGCGAGCCTCCACCGTCTGCCCCAAGGGCCGGGAGGGGTGACATGAGTATCCCTCTTTGTGTCCCAGCCCACACCCGCACCCGCCTGGGGACGCAAACCTAACTCCTCATCGCCCCCACCCTCAGCCCAACTGTGGAGAAGGCAGGAGGCCGGGCCGCGCTCCAGCACCTGGAGGTCGACGCTTCCTTAATGGGGGGGGGGGGGGGGGCCGCCGCAGCAAAGCCGGGACGTGGGGCGTGGGTGCCCTCTGGAGCTGGGCCTCCCTTGCCCGATTCTGGTCCGGCCCTCCCTCGGCACCCACGTGCACTTGGGGGGAATGGACCGTCTGCCCCAGAAAGACCCCGCAGGAGATCGGGCAGGCGTTTCCAGAGGCGTCGCAAATGCAGGCGTCCCAAATGGCTCCGTTTCCGAGGCGCCTGGGGGACGTGACAGCGGGCAGTGAGCCCATCCTTGGAGCCGCTTGCTTCGGGGCGGGGGTCCCTCCGTCGTGGCTGCTGGGGGCCGTTGGGGCACTCGGCAGGGCTTTGTGCAACCAGGACAAAGGCACCTTCCCCAGGACACAGCGCCGTCGTGAAGGCATCTGACAGCCGCCTGGTGGTCAGGGACCCCCGCCCCCACCCCCCGCTGGAAACGGCCGCTGCGATTATAGGACCTAGTGCTGCCCGACACGCTGCCTCCCCACCTGCCTGCGCCACGGCCCTGCCCTCCGCAGAAGACACGACGGTGTCCTTTCTTAGGTCCCTGCAGCCGCCGCAGCGAATGACCAGGGCGGGGCCCGACGCTGCGGACTTTATTCTCCCCCAGCCCATCTCTGCGCAGGCTCCGGGAGGGTCCCTCCTGCCCCTTCCAGCTCCCGGGGGACCCAGGCGTCCCTCAGCCTCTTCTCGGCGTGCATCTGGCCAGCTCCCCACCTGGCATAAGGACTCCAGTCTTGGGGTGGAGGGCACACTTAATTCACTATGACCTCTGAATTGCATCTGCAAAGCCCCTGGTTCCAGAAGGCCATGTCCTCGGGCTCTGGGGGTTGGGATTTGGACATATCCCCTGGGGGACACCGTTCAACTCACAACAGGCCCCAAACGTCAACAGGGCTGAGGCTCAGAAGGTTGCCGTCCACAAAGAACCTCGCGTGTGCCCCGTCTCTCTCGTGGGGGCTGCCCCCCGTGCCGCCCCACCCGAGTCGGCGCCGCCCCCGCCTGCCGCTGAGACTGTACGGGAGACCCGTGCGGCCCCAATCTGCGGCCCCACGGCGGGGGTGACTGGAGAGGATCGGGGCGCAGGGTCATCTTCGTGGCCCGGAGCGTCTGGTGCAGAAGGAGGTGGGCCAGGGTGCTCTTCCCGGAACGTCCAGCTCTGTGGTGTGCGTGCACCTCCCAGAAAGGGCAGCCGCTTCTCCCTCCACTCCCAGCCCTGTTCCCACCCCGTGCAATGCCACTTCAGGGGGAGCGTGCCCGGCAGACTGCCAGGTGCGCCTTCCCAAGGCAATGGTGGGGAGAGGCCGGGGCCGGGGGGGGGGGGGGGGGGGTGATTCCTTCCAGAACCAGGGCCAGGCTGACACAGCTCCTCCTGGCCTCCTTCTCTGCGTGGGCCTCACCCCCCACGTGGGCCTCTCTGAGCCGCCGTCTCCCTGGGCTGGAGCAGGGCTGGGTGGGGGCCCATCCGTCACACCTGGGGACTTACTGCCCAGGACGGGGCCGGTGGGGGCAGGGAAGGCCCAGGTCATGGGTGCAGAGGAGGGAAGGACGGTGTGTTAGTCAGTTCAGGCTGCGTAACAAAGCACCACAGACCAGGAGCTTAAACCACAGATGTTTATTCTCTCCCAGTCCTGAAAGCTGGGATCAAGGTGTGGACAGGGCTGCTTCCTCCCCAGGCCTGTCTCCTTGGCTTGCCGATGGCCACTTCTCCCCATGTCCTCCCGTGGTCGTCCTTCTGTGCGTGTCTGTGTCCTGATGTCACTTAAAAGGACACTTCCTGTTACGTTGGGTCAGGGACCACCCTGGTGACTCCATTTTAACTTAGTTACCCCTTTAAAGACCTTACCTCCAAATGTGGTCACATTCTGGGGTTCTAGAAATTAGGATTTTGACACATTTTGGGGGGCCATGGCTCAATTCATAACAGATGGATCTGAACTTCGAGTGTGGCCAGTGGCACCCAGGCCGGGGTCCCCAGCAGCGTAGTGATGGTCGGATCTTGCCAAAAGGGTCAGCCTGGTTTCCCCAGCCAGGATGCCAGCCATTGCCCGAAAGCAGGAGCCTCCGACACACGGGGTCTGGCAGCTCATCCTTAAAAACCCAGGGTGTTTACACATTCCTGTAATGAAGGAAAAAAAAAAAAACCAACTAGCAAAAAACCAGAGCAATTATTCACTCTTGCTTTCTTTAGCTACAGAAGGAGCTGGTTGGGAAATCATGAGTCAAGTGAAATCCTTTGTGGAATGAACAAAACAAAAGGAACAAAAGCCATTTGACTTGCTCACTGAGCCCCCCCCCCCAGCCCCCCGCGGGGAGACGCTGACTGGGGCTGGGAACGTTTACGATCCTCGCCGCCCCCAGCTTGCTGCCCTGTCCCGGCGCTGGCTGTCTGCATTCCCCTGTATCCTCTATCCAGATGCTTAAGTCACTGCTTATAATGGCACAAAATGTCAGGAGGTGGCTCTCAGAGTCTGGAAAAACAGTGGAGTGTCCTTGGCCGCCTGCTGACTCATTGGCTCCACACAGAAGCTCCTTCCCAGGGCACCTACCTGAGGCACTTTGTGCCGCACCGTGGACACGGGGGCTGAGCAGGTCTGTTCACAGCCTGCGAACGCTCGTCTGTGAACCTGTCCTGCTGAGCGGTCCTACACCCACACAGACGGAGCCCGGGGCCTGTCTGCAAGTGGCTTCTGACTTTGGGATGCAAGACATAGGTAACCCCGTTTCCCTAAGTTCCTCCAGGAAGAGCGAGTGCCCTTCAGTTGTGTTCTCACTTAGCCCTGGTCTCCTGCTCTGCAGCTGTTTGCTGATGGACCACCCAAGGACTGCACTTGTCAAGGATAGAGAGACGCATCTCATCCACCCTGTGTTCCAGGAGAGCACAGGGAATTGAGTATCTCATTCAACCCTGTGTTCCCAGTGCAGGTGTAGAGAAGTAGAGAAAAAGAGCTACCTTGTGTGTGTTTTTGGTTGGATGGATGGATAGATGAGTGGATGGGTGGGTGAATGGGCGGATGCGTGTATAGACAGGTGGATGGATGGATGGATGGATGGATGGATGGATGGATGGATGGATGAGTGGGTGGGTGAGTGGATGGTTTGGTGGGTGAATGGGTGTGTAGACGGGTGGGTGGGTGGGTGGATGGACGGATGGATGGATGGATAGATGGGTGGGTGGGTGGATGGTTTGGTGGGTGAATGGGTGTGTAGACGGGTGGATGGGTGGGTGGATGGACGGATGGATGGATGGATGGATAGATGGGTGAGTGGGTGGATGGTTTGGTGGG